AGAGGTACATATTGTACTTTATACTGTACTACATCTCAGAGGTACATGTTGTCCTATATACTGTACTACACCTCAGAGGTACATGTACTTTTTACTGCTGAAACTTAATACTTTGTGATACTTCTGGGTACTTTTACTTAATAATGTTTTTATGATGCAGTACTTTGTAGTACACAAGGTGTATAAACGTGGATCCACATTGATGAACATTGAAATACTTTTACATGAATTAGTTAGTAATAAAACTGAAGGAGACGTTCTGTTTTATAAGTACTTTTACTTTAGTTACTTTAAGTATATTTGCTCATAAAACTTGATAACTTGATGTACTTTTACTTCGGTAAGGATTTTGAAGGCAGGACTTTTACTTGCCACAGAGTATTTCTACACTACTATTACTACTTTGTCGTGGAAGAAACGCACAAAACACAGAACAGATATTTGCAGTTTGTTGTATTTAAACTTAGAGTTCAGGTTCACGTTAGTTTATTACAAATGATTCTATGATACAAAGAAAGATGATGATGTCATGAGCGTCCACATGAACTTCTTAAATAAACAATGTTTTCAGAATCTCATTAAAAGCTTTGATAACAGGAAACAGTCACATGCAACAAAACACAACCGACCAATCACCTGGAGCAGGCTTGTCTTGTGGGCAGGCGATGAATTGATACATTCTCAATGGCTGCAGAGCAGGAAAACACCATGACTGTCAAAATAAAACACCATGGCTGTCAAAATAAAACACCATGGCTGTCAAAATAAAACACCATGACTGTCAAAATAAAACACCAGGTGTTTATCAAATGAAAAAGTGCACATTTGGTGAACTGGCCTCAAACCCTCACCTGCCTCGAGCTACAGGAAACGTGCATCTTACAAAATAAAAGTTCATCCAGCGGATCACTTTAGAGAATTGCTTCAGGAGAGCAAGGCTAGCAGTTTCCCTCCGCCTCCATTCTTTGTGCTAAGCTAGGCTAACCAGGTCCTCGACGCGATGAACACGATCTCTGAAACATGTGAACACACACACACACACACACACACACACACACACACACACAATTGGTGGACGCTGCATCAGATGAAGAACCTTAAAGTGTAGAAATGATTTCACTCTTTGCATCAGATTAAATATTATGGGATGATATTTCTGAACCTGGAAACTAAATAAGCTGAAGTCAGCTGATAACAGAATGGTAGAAAGCTCTGGAAGTTGAGTTATTAAAGAACAGAATAAAGACGTCAGGTGATCTGCTGTTTTTGTTTCGTGTTTTACAAACTGAACACAGAATAATTATGACTTTTCTCTGTATCTCATGATCACTATTCTGATTCTTACAGTTTGATGAAGTGAAAATGTTTGTGAATCTTTTTATTTCATTCGTTGTGATTGAGGAAGGCGATGCCTTTAAGGACCAGCAGGGCGATCGGCCGTTTGTGCTCCGCAGACATTCAGAACCAGAACATTCACAGTAAAATATAACAGAACTTCTTCTTCTTCTTCTTCTATAAACAGACAGAAAACACGACGGATCGTCTGATTGAACGCAGCAAACAGACAATTGAAGCACAAAGCCAATAAACGTTTAGTTTGGTCAGTTTCCATGAATCCACAACACAGAACCAGCATCTCCAGTCCTGCAGGCAGTCTGAGTCCTGGTTTAGGACTTCAGCTGTGTCCCAGCTCTGGACTACAGGAAGAACTCTAATGTCCCACAATGCATTGCAGTGAGGTGAAGACTTTAACTCACATCCTCCTCCAGACAAAGTCCAGCAGACCTGGTCTCTATCCGGGCCCTCGTGGGTGGTGGTTCCATGTGGGTTCCTGTCCCCCTATAGACACCTAGAGACTGGCTCCAGAAGGAGGACCTGGTCTCTATATCTGGGAAAGGTTACTTCAACATTCATGAGGGGGTTCGGAGCAGCTCTTCAGTCTTAAAGGGTTCTCAGGGTCCAGGACCACCGTGGGATCCCCCAGGAGGATCAGGAGCACCTGGCTAGAAGGGTCTTGATAATCTTGTTCATTGATTATTTTAGACAAAGTTCTTGTGTGTCTGCTTGTTAAACTTCTGTTTGTATGAGTCCTTCATATCTACAGAGACCAGGTCCTCTTCATGAAGTCTACAGGAGCCCAGAAGGGACAAGCTGAGCCTAAACTCAGATCCAGTCCGCTGCAGTCTGCCTCCTCACCACTAGAGGGAGACATATTGTGTGTGGTGGTAAAATGAGCACATGGAGTCCTTGTGTACTAAAACTTATACTATGACACAAGTGTAGTACTGAGTACTATCGGTATGTAGTGTGGAACATGGGACAGCTGGTCACCAGGTCAGCTGATCACTGGAAAGAGGCGGGGCCATGTGGATTCATGGCTACGGTCCACAGGTGCTACGGGGGGGGGGGTTCAGGCAATGTAGTGGGCCCCGCCGGGTCCACGAGGTGGTCTTTTGGTGCTTGTGTTGGCGTTGGAGGTCGGGGGGGCACCGCGGGGTTTGGCGGCGGGTTTCTTGTCTCTGGAGGTCGGTCGAGTCTGAACGAGAGACGGCGTCCCGACGGTCTGGAGACCTACGGGCTCCACGATGGAGTTTATCACTAGAACAGAAGGAAGACCACATTCAAGACCAGGTCCAACAAGGTCCACCTCAGTCCACCAGAGTCACAACAACATCAAGAGGTACAACAAGGAGGGGGGTAGCCTAGCTTAGCACAAATAGTGGTTAGCCTAGCTTAGCACAAAGACTTGTTAGCCTAGCTCAGCACACTAATACTTTGGGTTTGTAATCTTTGTTTTATGTCCCATATTGTGCAGAAAAAGATAGTATTTATAATTTTCTCTGCTGTTTTCGGGGAAGAGATTTAATGTGTGAGTTAAAACCAGGTTAAATAACGTTAGATATAAATCACCTTCCAGCTGCCTCTGGACTCGTCTCAGCTCTTTCAGAATCGAAGTGATTTCCTGCAACAAGAAACAGAAAAAGTTCGAGCTGCGCTCAGATCAGATTTGAATAGTGTAGAGTTTTAGAGTTTAGAGAAGAACCTTGTTGGAGGTTTTCAGGATGGGGACTTCGTTCTCAGCATTGATCTTGGCCTCGATATCCTCCCAGACCTCGGCCTTGTTCTGGAACAGAACCCTGAGAACAGAACCACAGCAGACCACTTCATGTAGAGACCTGGACCACCACAAAAACTGGACCTCATTCTGAAAGTTTAGCATCATCAAGGGCTCCCTTACTTCATTTTTTCAGCCAGCTGCTCCGTGTTCTCCCGGATGGCCTGAGACAGCTGAGACACTGGATTCAGCATCAGGTTGTCCAGAATCACCTGACGGAGTTCATTCAGAGACAAAAAGGAACCCGATGAGTCAGAAACGTGACATCAAACACCGATGTCCACAGACGTTTACGTCCTGATTTCCCAGCACACCAAAACTAACTGCATTAGTCTCTTTTAGTTTGATGGATTTAAGAAATGTTCACACTGCAGGCTCAGGAAATTATTATTATTATTGTTATTATTATTTTATCTTTCTAGTGACGAACTCCAGTCTGGATATCAGCTAGCAACTAGCTAGCTCCATCTACAAGAGCAGGAATGGGATCAGTAAAGTTGTACTGATCCCATTCCTGCTCCTGTAGATCTAACGAATCAATGACCTTTCACCTCTAGATGTGTCGCTCCACTAAGACTTCAGAATACATTGTGGCTGTAATGATCAGTTCGGCCTCTAGGGGCACTAGACTAACAGTGAAAACCAGCCAGATACCAGCAGGTGAGAAGCTAGCTGAAAACATTTTAGCTGTGGACATTTTTTGTATGATTTGTATTTGCAAAGTTCTGTTAATCAATAATAATAATAATAATCAACACATTTAAAAAACATCTTGTGCACATTAGAACAGAGCTGAGCTGCAGTGTGAACCTCGGGGGATTAAACAGTGACCTCTTCGCGGTTCCACGGACGGCGTTGCTTAGAACCGGGCTCCGGCTCATTCATGTTAGCGTCCAGGTCCGAGACGACAGCAGAACCCGGAGGAACCTTCTGGTAGTTTAAACTGGCCTCGGGGATACGTTGGACCAGCTGGAAAGAGAGATCCAACCCACTGATTATTGGTTATTGATCCGGCGAGTGCTCTGTGAACGCATGCACCAAGTCAACATGCAGCTGATGGTGGAGGGCGACATGTGCAGTGAATTTTAGTTCTGCTGGGATACAGCGTGTAACAATAACAGGGAAGTTTAGGAGTGCAGGAGGGTCCTACTGAGTCACCAGCTCTAGCGCCATGAACTGTCCCAAAACCAGTTAATTAATGGTGCAGGCCAATGGGAGTCAATGGAAAGCACAAAATCAATCTGAGCAGGAATCAGACTGAAAATAAAGATGTGAGAGTGAGAGACCAAATGTAAATGACACGAATAACTACTCCTTTCTCATTGGCTGGAGAGGAGAGCCCCACCCAGTACTACTAATATATATATATATATATATACATATATACATATATATATATATATATATACATATATACATATATATATATATATATATATATATA